GAGGGGAACCAGGCCTAGCGACGGTTAGAAATCACTGAACGTCCGTTCTAGACAAGAGAAGAAAAAAAAACACAACATCATCACGTCATGACCACGGTACACCTTTTCCCCATTCGATTCGAAGCAAATGTAGGAAAACCAGACGCCACCAGCAAGGCACTCGAGGCAGTACTTCCACAGGCTGCATGAGTTTTCTTGACATGAACAACATATTTATTGGGACGAAACAAAAACAGTTGTGTGGATAGGGATGAACTCGATGTGAATTGTGCAACAACAAGAAAAGCCTAACTCTCACCATCCCGGCCCAGTAGCTTCCGTCGCAGGAATGGCAAGTATGGCTCACACCGGTCGTGTAACCGTCCATGCAGACAGCGCAATCTGCGGCAACAACAAAATATATGTATAAATAGATATACATCATGGTACACGACAAGGGCGCAGACAGGTGTACGGGTCGACGCTGTCAGTGGAAGCGAAATGGCGGTAGGAAATCGGCGAAAAGTAGACACGGTAAAAAATAAATCGACACAATCGTACAATAGTGTCCCCACGCATGCTTCAGGTGTTGTCTGAAGAGAACACTGCGGCTGTGAAAAGCACAGGATACTTGAGGAGGGCACAAAAAGTTAGGATAAACGCGTGAGGGAAGGCATGAAATTTCAACAATGCCGAGAAAATATCTTCGTTTCTCACGGTAGGCAGATGCTGCGGTGGATGACGCTCACAGAGAGCACGAAAACAAACGGGCCGTATTGATGGCCATCGTATCCCATCATCAACACTGGCCTGTTGTCCTAATCAGCAACAGCAGCAGCAGCAGCAGCCGCAACAACAACAATGATGAAGATGGCAGCAACAACAAGGACGAAAACGACGACAGTAACAGTGGCAGCAGCAACGACGACTCACAGGGCCCCATGTAGCCGGTGTCGCAGTAGTCATTCGGAGACGATATGCGTTGCGATACCTCGCTCCCGATGCAGGCGTCGTCATTGAAGCACTCACGAATATTCTGCACGAAAGGAGAGAGACGCTAGGTGGTCAGATAGCACAAGGACATAATAGCAAATGTCCAGTCGTCCGACCACCCCCGAACAGGCACCAATCTCCCCGCAGGAACCAAAGCGTGCAGGGAAACCCGCCAGGCAATATAAAGACAACGCAGGAAAGTCGTTCATACAGCCCTATTTTTACAATGCGCCACACACATAGCTCCTGGGAGGAGAAATCTGCTCGCGAGGCAGAACATAGAGCCACAGGCACAGTTCACAACCATGTGTGATATGCTCGATGTTTCGGCTAGGATATCCCTGCTACTATATTAATAGTTGTGAAAAAACGAATATATGCCGACATTTCGGTTTCATTTAATGGTGGTGTCATAGTGGACATTCCATCGACATTTTGGCTTTTCGCGATCTGCATTGTTCTAACGAACATACCATCGACAAAACCCCTAATCAATGTATACAAATATGGATCTGTGTGTCGGTTTTGTTTTGGTTTTGGTTTTGGGTATTCTTTGTGTTCCTGGTTTTGGCAGGACACATCGGCGTCAGTCACTTTGCGTTGTGCGTTCACGAACATGCCATCGACATTTCGTGCTTTCACGTCTTTTATTTTTTTTTACAAACATGACGTGCATACCATCGATGTTTCGGTTTCGCCCTTCTTCTCTTTCGGATATTTCGTCATTACGAACATGACATACACATCATGACTTCCATGCCATCGACCCTCCGGTTTCACTCTTACCTTTCGACTATTTCATTCTTCCAGACACAACATGACTTCCTGCCATCGACCCTCCGGTTTCACTCTTACCTTTCGACTATTTCATTCTTCCAGACACAGCATGACTTCCTGCCATCGACCCTGCAGTTTCAGTCTTCTCCTCTTTCGAAAGGTTCATTCTTACGAACATAACAGACACGACATGACCTACATGCCATCGAAACTTCAGTTTCAGTCATTATTTATCTTTTCTCTTTACATACCATACACAACACGGCTTGCATGCCATCGACTATTCAATTTCACTTATATTTTCATTCTATTATGACAAAACATGACATACCACGACACGAAACGACATTCCATGGTACGTACCGTCGAAGTTTCCGTCGAGCGCCAGTAGCCTTCGGCTAGCGGGAGAGTCTCCAGCAGGGTACCCTCGGAGTCGCAGCTAAGGCCCTCAGGGTTAAGCGCCACGTCCGCGCACATCATGCACGAGGTCTCGCTCGCGACCCAGTACTGGCCCTGTTGGTTTTTGTTTCGCAGAATCATCAAGCATACGCATCGTCCCCTTCAACACGACGCAGTACATCACTCATGTTTTAATTTATCGCAGAATCCTGTGCACGCCCTCCCTTCATACATGCAATCATGACGCATTGCACGACTCATGCGCATTTTTTCAAGCACAATCATGCGCACGCCCTCCCTTCATAATCATGACATATTACATCACCCACGATACGAGGAAGCTAGGAACCTATTGACCACTTGTTCGTCGAGTCCTAAGCACGCCATCGTCCCCTCTGAAGCATGACGTCATGACGCAGTACATCACTCATGTTCAAATTTATCGCAGTATCGTGTGCACGCCCTCCCTTCATAATCATGACGCAATGCGTCACTTGTGCGCGTATTTTTTGTAGCAGAATCATGTCCACGCCATTCCCTCAAAATCATGACGCAGTACATCACTCATGCAGGTATTTAAGTCCTAGAATCATGTGAACGCCCTCCCCTCCTAGTAATGACGCATCGCTTCACTCATGTGGGTATATGTTGTAGCAGAATCAAGTGCACGCCCTCCCTTCATATATATCATGACGCAATACACCTTTCTCACAATACGAGTATTTTAGAAACCATCTACCACTTGTTAGTCAAATCCTGAACAAGATGGGAGTTCCAACCCCGGTGACGTGTTTCTTTTTTCAGTGAATCTTCTGGGATATGAAAATGGGTTTTTTGTCCGTTGCTTTCATGTATTCAACTCTCTCTTGGAAAACACCGAGCCAGATTGATCTTGCGGAGGACACCTGGATGACTTGGGATTGTTCAGAAGTAAAGCTACGTCATCCCCCGACAATATTTACGGCGAGGAGCGGCGGCAAGTATACAGTGTGATAGATTATTCCGTGTGGCGTGCTGCACCATCGGCATCATACACAGCGTGAAAAACATCTCAAGTGCGATACGCGTATATATCTGTAGGAAAGAGCAAGTACAGCAGCATCACACCTATCTTGCAGCACCGCATAGCAGGTCATATCACACGGAATTCACTCACAGGACCCCACCACCATACAGGAATGGTACCATCAACCTTCTAATCGAATCACAATACCATACCATATCATGTCTGACCCAACCGCAGAACACAAACATCGCTCGGTGATAGATAGATACGGCCGTACCGTATGCATGAAGGATAGGTGGGGGATGTTCGGCTGCACCAGCGACAACAACAAACTTCCTGCCCAGTCTGAAGGTCGTTCTTCAACCTGCGATTGCAAGCTCCCAACAGTCTCAGCGCTGCAATGAACCAAGGGCGCTGGTATTGCTGGGGGTGTTTCCACTACCGAGGCCCATGGACCATACGTTTCGTACCAATACCAGCAACAAAAACCAATAAAACACAATACAAACACAACAACCAGCAACCCAGAAAGACGAAAAAAAAATAAAAAAAAAAAAATAACAATAGGGAGGAGGGCATGACAAGACGCACCGCGTTGCAGTAGACGAACGATGCGTTGATGCTTGTGGCGAAGGGATCCACCTCTTCCTGGTGAGGGGCCTCGGCCGTGAAGACGGTCGTGCTCTCGCCGTTCCAGTAGGTCGAAACTTCGCCGTTGAGGGAGATCTGATTTGGCAGCAGCAGCAGCAGCGGCAAGCAAATATAGATAGATCAAGGCCATGGAACGCCGGATTTCGATGGGGTAGATTAGTAGCTCCCATGGCCTTTCGGTGCCACAAAACAAGTGCAGAGAGGGTCTGATACGAAAACGTGGGGGGGTAGCAACTGCAAGAAGCTCCAACAGTGGTAGCAGCAACGACAACGCCACCACCACCACCACCACCTCCGCCACCACTACGAACAACAACAACAACAACAACAACAAAACCACAGCACACACAAACAAAAAACACTCACGGTAATATTTTCTCCGGGGTACGCGAGCCCGGTCGACGGCACCACCACCCACGCCACGCTCCGTGGATCGTCCAACCACACAATCTCCCACAGACCCGCGCCCCCTCCAGGCTCCCCCGCGCCGTCTTGGCTGTCCGCTCCCAACGCCTCGGAGTCGTTCCAGGACAACACCAGTGACGTGGATGGGGCGTCCGGGTAGGTGGTAGACACTACAGAGTCTGGTCCCGTCAAGGTTAAGGTCCCGGAACTCCCGAGGCATGTCTGTTATGTTTGGGAAACAAGTCAGGGTGAAGAGATGTACGTGCGCAGTATCAAAAACCATACCGTTGCGACGTGTCCGTGTCGGAAGGGGGGGGGGGGGGAAGGGTGTACGGCAACGATTTTGGGCAGTATCCAAAACCACACCATTGCTATTGTATGTCGAGCCCCTGTTCATTCCGTTACAAGTAAATAAAATTGCGCCAGAAAAAGCAAACAGCAGTCAAGCGCTTCGTAGCGTTTCCCCCCAGAGACCGCACCATCAACCCCAACAAATGAAAAAACAGTAAGACCGTTAAGGGTAATATCACAACAGACGCACTGCAACAACTGATGCTCCCTGCTACCTTTGTACGCAAACATCCTCACTGCATCCATATAATGATCGCACACGCGAAATCGACCCTCGCCTCTACTGCTAAGACTTCGACTCGACTCGACTCACGGAGGTAGTGTCCACGACAGAGACGTAGCAGTAGCAGTAGACGCCCAGGTCGCCCTCGATGCATCCCTCGTTGTCGGAGCAGCCGCTTAGCTCGCAGCCGGCGATGTTGGACCCGAATATCGATACGGAAGAGTTTTCGGCTTCCAACGGGGTTTCCAAGTCCGTGCCGTAGCTGCGTTTGTTACGGAGTATGTGTCGAAACCGTCCCGGCGGTTGCCAAGGGAAACAACACGGATTTGAAGCGGAACAATCACGGGTTCGAAGAGGCATGTACGCACGCAGAGCGCCAGCGACAAAAACCTAGACCTAGACCTAGACCGAGGAAATGTTTGGTCAGTACAGTGGAGGGTGCTTTACTGAACAAACACGCTGAAGCGGGCCACGGAAAGCGAATTGCGAACACATGTAAACATATCTCGAACGGGTAGTCTTTCTAAACACATTATGAATACTTCCTAAATGCCCCCGGCACATAATGGCACACCATGATTTCACTGGTGCCAGTATACATACATCTCGTGCAGGCACCAACAAGGCATAACGATTTGTTACTTTTCGCCAAAAACATCATTCGCGTATTGGCTAACCTCCAACTGTCAACTCAGTAGAGACTGTGGTCGTGCCTATTTGATTTTTTGGAGAAAAAAGGCAAAATACGTCTCGAACGCCCTGCAGTTCCTCTTGTCCTATTTGACGGCGTATTAAACAAACACGGAAACAACTGATAGCCTGCAAGTTGCTCGTGCCTATTTGACAAAGCATTAAAGCGTGAAAATAGCAAACCTCACTTGATAACCTTGTACTATTTATGTTTATTACAGTTGCTCATACCCCTATTTTTGATCAAGTATGAAAAAAAAACTCGCTTGTAGCTGGTAGGTAGTTGCTCGTGCCTAAATGACAAGAAAAAAAAAGAAAAATCCTTCCAATACAGTTGCTCATGCCTATTAGACAAAACGAATGAAAAAAACAAAATCTTGATACGGCTGGTAGTTGCTTTGTGCCTACCAATTGAAAATGCATAAAAACGAAAAACTCCCTTGATAGCCTTGGAAAGTATTTAAGAACTAGCTGCCCATGCCTATTTGACAATGAACGAAAATATATATATATACTCACTTGATAGCCTGGTAGTTGCTCGTGCCTAGACGTGCGTTCCTGACAACAGCAAGCGTCCCTCCGTCCTGTACGTTGACCATGCTGCTGGCTGTGCTCTCGCTGAAGTCGCACCCGTCCAAGTGAAGCACGCCCGTCTGGTCCGCCAAAACCTACATAGACACGTTCACACGAATAACCACCATCAACCAAGGGAAAAAAAGTAATAAATCATGGAAAAAACAAAAAAAACGTGGAAAAACAAAAAATCGCAGCATGTGTTGTGTGTTGTGTGTTTTCGTCCTATTATTTATTATGGCGACAGTCCCCCCATTTTACAGGACACGAACAAAAATTAAGCACAACAGACCACATCATAGAAGGAAAAAAAAGTCAAGAGCGAAAACGAGAACCAGCAAAATTACAAGACAAGAGAGAGAATAGAAAAAAGAAAAAAAAAAAAAAACAGCTTCCGATGAACGGACGGACCGACTCGAAACAACGCCTCTCACAACGTTGGTCCCGGTCCAGCCAATGAAGTAGCAGTCCTGAGCCTCGAACTCGGTGTGGGAGCCGGCCTGTACAGCCAGCATGCCGGCATTGTTCGTCGTGTCCTCGAAGATGGAGTCGCGGGCACGGACCTTGGCGTCGAGGGTGTAGACGATGGCACCGGTAGGCACCTGCGGGAAGAGAGCCGACAAGCGATATTTCGAAACGCGCGTCAAGTCAAGTGAGTTCGGCCTCCTTTCTCGCGCGCGCCTCTTGAGTCGCACGCGCTAAGACTCTCACTCCACGGCAACCGAGGCATACTCACGCAACAAAGTTGGTGCCTTCACACTCGGCAGTTATGGACGATCAGCGTGGTTCAGTTCTATGTAGCCCGATTCGCGCGGAGCATGACGAATCGGGTGCCATTTTCATTCTGTGAGAATGAAGTTGACGGTTTAAATCGACCCGAACTACACTGTTGACATGGACTCTCACTCTCCATGCTCTGTAAATAGTTCATCATGACAGTTCTCAATGTACTGCTGCGACCTGTTTCATCTTAGAGTATAGATGCAAACAACCAGCATTTCGTATCACAGAGTCGGGCAACACGACTAGATTCGAATCATTCGCTGGGCACGCTAGGGAATACGGCACTTGCGCACCTCTTGTCTACAAAAAAACGCGATAGTGCAGCCCGGTCTTGAGGGCTGTTTCCCGGTTGCTGGGTATTGACCGCACATAAACGGTTGTCCGTCACTTTCGTACAGCAACTGTAGCAACCGTACCGCCGCCGTACCGTACCGTAGGGTATTAACCATCACCGGCAGTTGCCCGTTACATTCGTACAGCGACTGGCCGGCAGCGTGCAACACTAAGTGCTGTAGCACCGCCGTACCGTATCGTCGGTACATGGTCCATTATGTACGGTTTTTCACCTTTTGGGGGCTCGGCGTTTTCATGCGGCATTTCGTGGCATTCCGTACCGCGAAATTACAGAACCGGGAAACGCCTTGAAAATTCTAAACGACAAAAAAACATACATGAATGTCCTTCGTTCGTACGGGATTCAGATTGCCGAAAACCTCGCACGGCGTAATGTGTAAGGTATATCATCTCTCACCGCGCGTCGCCAGAAAGAGTGAAAACACAAACGGCGTTCTTCCTGCGGGGGGGGCGGGAGACAAGTGCATTCACCACGTCATGTTCGTAAAAGCAAAACGTTGTTGTTTCCATTCTCACCGTATCGCCCACGAAGAGGCACTTTCTCAGGTCCAGCTCGCTCCTGGACATGTAGATCGACCCGCCGAGGGTGGCGCTGTTGGAGGTAGAGTTGCAGTCCTGCATCTCGATCATCGAATCCTGCAACAGCAACACCAAGACAAAAGCGACAAAGCCAAAGCCTTTCGTGTTAGTTCATCGCTAGCTGGTTGTGTTGGGGTGGTAAGTGTTCAGTGTAAGGCAGGCGCTGGACACTTTAGACTGGCGTATTTCCATTTCATTGGCCAGTCGGTTAGCGCGGTCGAAGCTGACAAAAACGAATATCACACACACAAAATCCTGTGTACAGCGTTCCCCCGGCTGATGCATCCAAAGAAGACCGCGTAGATACCGACATGTCACAAAAAAAACAGTAGACGTCCAGAAAAACATCACATGGATGACACACACGCAGAACCACTGTACACACACAACAAAAAACGCCACCAGCGGGCGCCCCCCCCCCCCCCCCCCCTTTTTACCGAGGTGGAGAAAAAAAAACCGCCCCTCTCCCCGGGAAA